CTATGTAACCAAAAAATAAAAATAATTAAAAAAAAAAAAAAAAAGAATTATAGGATTAAGACTGCACCCCTATATACGCTTACCTATCAATAACATTAACTGAGCTACGTGAGTCTTGCTTTTGATTGCATTGTAATATGTTAGCTTCTAAAGAACCTCATGGAAATTCTTGGCACTTCCCAAGTATTTAAAAAAATATGAAAGAAAGATAGATACAACTAGCATTTTAAAGCACTTTTCCCTCTTTCCAAAACTCTTTCATCTTGAAAGAGCATTTGGAGAAGTTCAAAATAGATCTTAAGATTTCTCTTTCTGCCATGGTGTTAAAGCCTTTGTTTAATCCATCACATCCTTATTACGAAAAACTGTTAACTTTGACTTAAACTGCACATACAAGAGCCTGGCTATTTTTAAGTCTTTTTTTTTCTTTTTGCTGTTGATTTTCATAGGATCTGTTTTGATTTTGAGTAAATTCTGACCAAGGATGCTCTCTGAATCACTTAAGCCTCATTCAAAACACGGGAAATTATTGAGAAACTATTATGCATCTATACCAATAATTCATTTTGCTAAATTCTAGTTTTCATTCCTTGGCTCTTGTATACTAGGAGTTAGACAGTATTATACATTTATATAATTTCACAAAAACACAAAAGTAATCTTTTTCTAACCTTGAGAGACAAATTTCTGAAAATTTGAAGCGTTTTTTCCTTTTTTAAAGAATATGTTTCTAGTAGTTATGGAGCTAAAGAAATGTTTTAAAATTTGATTTATGTCTGTTAAAATCTCAAAAGCTCTATATTCCCAGTGTTGCATTCAATTTCTAAGGGTGGGCAAAAGCTCTAAAAGCTTTTGGCCATTCTCATTGCTGAGACAGAGTCTACAAATTTATATATAAATGTCAAATCCCTTTATATACGAAATAATAAAATAATAAAATCCCTTTATACAAGAAAGGGAGAATGGAAGAAGGGAAGTCATGCCAGCTGTTATATACCGTATTTTTCAGAGTATAAGACCACCCTTTTCCCTCAAAAAAGAGGCTGAAAATCTGGGTGCATCTTATACACTGAATACAGAATTTTTTGCCTCCCCAAACCCCACCCCTGTGCAGTGCAGTGAAGAGCAACAAAGAGGATTAGGAGACTGTAGGCTAAAACATACGAAGAACGGTTGCAGGAACTGGGTATGTCTAGTTTAATGAAAAGAAGGACCAGGGGAGACATGATAGCAGTATTCCATTATCTCAGGGGTTGCCACAAAGAAGAGAGAGTCCAATTATTCTCCAAGGCACCTGAGGGCAGAACAAGAAGCAATGGGTGGAAACTAATCAAGGAGAGAAGCAACTTAGAACTGAGGAGAAATTTCCTGACAGAACAATTAATCAGTGGAACAGAAGTTGCCTCCAGAAGTTGTGAATGCCCCAACACTGGAAGTCTTTAAGAAGATGCCGGATAACCATTTGTCTGAAACGGTATAGGGTTTCCTGCCTAGGCAGGGGGTTGGACTAGAAGACCCTCGAGGTCTCTTCCAACTCTGCTATTGTATTCTAAGTTATGATTATTTTTTTAAAAACCTTTGAGGGAGCCAGTATATCTGAAATAATATTTTCTGATGAATGGATTTCATTTTTAGTCTTTGGAAGTATATTTCATGGTTCTTTAAAAAAATCTGGTGGATACTCCAATTGTTCTGTCCTAAGTCGTAAATGCACCTGTGCTCCTTTTCAGAAGCCCTGTTTTCCATCATAGCCAAAATAGCCAATGGACGAGGAGTAACTCACTGCTAGGCGTCATGGATGCAGCTTCACTAACTGACAGTGCAGGGTGTCTATGAGAATCCAGCTTTGTCCTTTTGGGAAGCACGAAGGATCATTGGCCTGCATCAATCCGCAGCTCTTTTATTGGCTGCAGAGGTCTTTCCTGAAGGTCTCTGACAGTGAAACGAGGCCTGGGGGGGGAGCCACATGCATCAATCCAGAACCCATTTCTCAGCTGCAGATCAATGCTGGGTTTCCATTATTCAAGGTGAGGCAGATGTTGGGGTGTGCAAGGCCTGAGTGCCACTGTCCGAAGATAAGGAGGGCAGCTCTACCCCACCCCACCCCCACCCCACCTTGATTTTACCCGTGTGCCTCACCCCACCCCATCCACCCCAGAGTGTGTGTGTGTGGGGGGGAGTTGTAACTAGTGCTTATTTTGGGAGTAGGGCTTATATTGGGCACACATGTCAAAATCAAGCTTATTTTCAGGATAGACCTTATTTTCGATGAAACATGGTATTTACTTCTTGACTATTTCCATGCAGCTGAAATATAAAATAAATAATTCAAAAGAACTTTTTATTACAGCATAATGCAAATTATAGTGTCCCCCCCCCCATTCTTTTGGTATCATTTATACAGATCATAGCATTCAGATTTTGGGCAGAATTACCTGGATTTCAATTTTATAAAACTGAAAATAATTTTAAAAAACCTCTTTTATCTGGACTTCTTCCAGCCCTTTCCTTCATTATAGCTGCTTTAAGGACCATGGCAAGAGAATGGAGGGCAACTGAGTTCAGAAGGGCTGAGGGCATGACAGGGAAGCTGAGGGGTGTTAAGAAAAGCAAGGAAACTGGTCATTAAGTCTCATTTTGTTCATGCACAGGTTCTCAATTAGCAATCCATAAACCCGTCCTGATGCAGGCAGGCCGCTAAGACTGAGGTATGTTAAGAGATATGGGAAAAAATCTTTTCACCCAGATGATTCTCTGCACAGAATCACTGAATACTAATGAATACCAGCTGATGGTATAACTTGTTCTCCTTGGAAATATCTGTCCTTCCATTTCAGAGGCTTCAACATGCTACTTTTCTGGGCATGAGAATATCCAAATGAAAAAAAGAAATACTATTAATAGGGACAGAAATGGAAATTTTAACAGGAATCAAGAAAAATAGGAAGTAGCTCTAAGAAGGTTTAAGATGAAATATGAAACACATCTCATTTCTACAGGGGATAATTTGCAGAAGCCCTAATATAGATTAATCGCATTTAATAACAATCAGAATTTGCCCTTCTGTTCCTGAAAGCAATCAGAAAGTTATCTATCAATGAAAAGCAGATAAAATATACCCTATAGTCAGATGCATATTTGCATCAGGGTTGATGTGTGAAGTATAAATATGCATTACTGTTCACATTTTTATTTATCTGTGAGTACTCTACAATTAGGAGCTGACGTGCCATGGGAGATCACCTAGGCAAAAAGATAATTGAGATGACATTGCCAGTTCAAATATACATTCTCCAGTATTTGTTAACACACCTCAATCTGGATGTCTTATAAAGAGATTGCTGTTTTGAGCTTATTCATGTAGCTCAATTATAGCAATTAGGCACTAATTCAAAGGGCTCCCACAGTGTATGGAACAGCCCTAATTCCTTTTTTCTTGAGTTTGTTGAAGGAAAGATACCACCTGGTTCATCATCCAATAACTGCAATAATTGATCCATTCCATATCATTCAATAGGGGGGAAATCCATAATACCCAATGATGCAGTCAAATTAAGGATTTCTGAATAATTAAATAAGGCTATATTTTCAGGAAAGCTACAGTTGTTTTGACGTCACCAACTATTATGTGAATAACATTTGACCTAAATTTGAGACATCCTGATACAGCAAATTTAGATTGCAAAGATTTTGCAGATGAAGTGTCTAAGGTTCACATAATTTAGTTGAATCATAGCTATTGCATCTCTAATCATATTAAAGTTTCTATTTCATGGGGTTCTTTAGATATTCTTCAGACCTCCTTACCTCATTCCAAAATATATTATGTGCACATATCTAAACTAAGATAGTGGTTCATTCCAGATGAATATCATTCAGAACATCTTCAATGCTACTCCAAATGCGAGTCTCTTTTTTCAACTAGTCCGCCCCTATTAAAACTATCACTTTCTCCCTTGCTAGCTCTTAGATTACATTATAACATGATTTGACAATGAGATTATGTAAACCTAGCCAGTTTTACATATTATATATATACACATTGCACTTCTGCAATACACAATTCTCAAAACCCACTGAACTGTTTTCTCCAGCTGCTGTATCCCTGGGCAAGATTTAAAGGTAGGAGCAGTTTCACACTAGACAGCGCAATGGATCTACATGCCTGTCTCAATTAGACTGAACAAGGAGCAGCCAACAAGCGACAAGATACACGGATCTTTTCACAGCAGATTGGATGTTGCCCAAACCCTCTGTGTAATTGCATTCAATTGCACGCAACTGAGCATGCTTTAAAACCTTAAGTGTCTTCAGGAGTGAAAATGAATTTTCTTACCAATCTTCCTACAAGATTTTTCATTCCAATGAATTTTGAGCTTACACATCTGCGCAATCTCACTAAAGCAAACAGAAGGCTCACTGTATCGAACAAAGGAGGGTTATTTTGAATTTCTTT